TTTAAAAAAATTAATGTGACCTTGACCTGACCTTCGCTACGCAACCCAAGGTCAAACTGATGTGATCAGTAAATACATCTTTTTAAACGCCACAACTTTTGTCTGAAACATTTTTTTGTAAAACTTATATTTTTCCTGATATTCGGGCGTCCCGGTACTTTCCGAACACCCTGTATATATTTTTTTTTTTTTTTTTATCTGCTACCTGTTAGTATCGACGGAGAGACGTGTTCGCTTCTTTCCAACGGTCCGGACTTCACGAATCGAAAGTGCAAGGACACAACTGAAAAACGATGCTAAAAGCGAGCGAGCGAACCTCGTTCCAGGTGACTTTTATCACCTGGAATTGTTAAGGTGGTTTCCTCTTATTGGTCCACCATAAGTATATTGATTTTTGCCAATCACCGATCGCAGCGGAAACGTTGACACTGAGCAAGCGGTTGGTGATAGGCGCTCTTTAAATTTAGACATTGGAGACTTTAAAGGACGGTTGTTCCAACTTCTTGATAAGTCAACTGATGATTAAATCATATGTCTATCTTTGTCTAAATTGAAGGAAAAAGAAAGACAGACGTATGATTTAACTATCAGTTAACTTACCAAGAAGTTGAAACAACCGGCCCTAAAAGCTGTTATGATCGCACAGATACGCGGCGTCTGGTACTCGAACAGCTGACGCGATTGTCAACAAGTTTTTCTTGTCGAGCGCGTTAGGAATGATCTATTTGTGTTGGCTTGAAATAATACATGTCGTCTCGTTAAGACGATAATTCTCATGTTGCGAATTATATGAAGTGCAAGAAAATAAATGTATAGAACTAAATATCGCAATATTAAACAAATATCATTGCAATTGTTTAGCTGAAATTCCTCAGAAAGCGCAATTAGCAGGATTTTGTTTTCTTTCAACAAAACGCCATGACGTGTAAGATACCAATTCTTGTATTGATGTAACTCAGTTGCGCACAAAATCTTTCCTTCTTGATCAAAGAGATGAAAGTTATTGAAATAACCACCGAGTCAGATTATAGAAAAATAGAGATTTTGCTTATTTTCAAGATTCGTTGTACGTGAGAAATGAGACGTGCGAGCAAAAAACAACTGACAGTTCCAGATGAGGGATTGAAAGTATCACAAGGATTCACCATGAACCGCAAGAGTTCCTACGGTCGTACCCAGTAAGCAAGGAACATTAAATTAACGTTTAGAAACGTTGACTTCATGTACATTGTTTGGACATTTTTTAATAATATTGCATTTATATTTTTCACATATTATTTTGTGATATGATTTTTCTGAAATTGCTTAAACATTTCAAAAACATTACAAAAAATATATTTTCCAAATGTTACTTTAACATTTATTTGAGATCAATGTAACATCTTAAAAATATTTCTGACGATTAAAACGTTATGGTAACCCTGTTTCAACATTATTGAAACTTCCAAATCGCGGTTAAAGTATGTTTATATAATGATGTTCAATACAATATTAAACTCTATATATTTGATAATATTATAGGTTCTTGAATATCATTGTAGTAATGTTGTATTAATGATTTCTTGCTTACTGGGTAATAATCTAGAGTTGCGAAAACTCACGAGTGAATCACAAGGATTCGTTATGAACCGGAAAAGTTCCCGCAGTCGCAATGAACTAGAGCTACAAAACGGAGATTTAAAAAAATTTTTTGAAGATATACTATTTGTGACGATCGGTCTTAACCTGAGCCGGCCAGTTATTCAGGCTCAGTGTGCGAGTCTGATCAGAAACCTCGTCGGATATCCGGGTTCGGCCGGACGCAGAGAAGGGAGAGAGTGATCAAGCCTCAGATATAAAAAATAAATTTATTTGGATTCTCTACATTACAAGAGCGTGATGTCACGGAGCGCAGTTCCACAGTCAGTCGCGGAGACGGCTGGATAGATTTTTATGCGATACGGAAAGCGGGAGCGGCGTGGCAACGCAAAGCGTCGCGAAAAATGCACAGCGGCGCGAACATACAATCTACATTTAAAACGCAGTCTTACAATATATAACGCGAGGCGAAGAGCGGTTTTCGGCGCAAAGAACGGTGCGGGCGTGGGTCGAGAACACCTGGCGGAGGCTTTCACTCCAGGAGTCCGTCCGATGGATGCGGTCGTGTCTTGGAGCCGGTTATCCTCCGGGAGACTACTCGTTGTCGGCTCCGTAACTTCCCCTGGCGATCAAATCTGAGGATCCACCGAGCTCTTCCCGCTCGCAATTTGTATTTCCGCCAGACATGAGCCGCGGAATGCGGTATATCCGCGGTTAGTCCGAGCTCGAGCTCAACTCGGATGGGCGGCGGCGGCGGCGTCGGGCTAGTGGACCAGTGTAATGCCCTTGAGGCCTCAGTTGCTGGCGGCATCGTGATCCTGACCACCGGTGGTGGTAACGTGGCTGTGGGTGGCGGTGGTACTAACGGGATCCGGAGCCGCTTCCAAAGATCAGTCCCAATAATTACATCGTCATCTAGTCGATCCATAACATGAAACTTGTGATGAAGTTCCCGGCCGCCTATACGTACAAGTATCTTAAGGCGTCCTAGCGTAGCTGAGAGCGTACTGTCTGCCATTCGTAGCTCGGTGGAGGTTTGTAACGGTGGGATGCCGGTAGGCCAGATGATTTGTAGAGCGTCGTGCTTTACACAGGACACCTCGGCTCCAGTATCAATTAATGCCTGGAATTCCTTCTGCTGCAGGCAGATCTTGACGTACGGCCGTGGTGAATATACGATGGATACATCGGGTATGGTCGAGGGGTGGTCGGTGGCCCTGGCGGCGTTTCCTGAAGGCAAGTGACACTCCCTCGTGAGGACTCCATCTTTCCCACATTGGGAGCAGAACTTGCGAGCTGGTCGCCGACACTGGCCCCTCGTGTGTCCGTGTTCCTTGCAACGCCAGCAACAGCTGTCTCGGTCGTAAGTAGAAGTGACGACAATAGGACGGCAAGCAGAAGCAGTATCAGTGGGTTCATCCCGGGAGAAACGAACAGCTGTTCTTTGCTTCTGGATGGCTTCATATCCCGTGACTCGGTAACCTCCGTGCGCGGCGGTGGCCTTCGCGACCTTGTCCATGGCGACTCGGTGCTCAGTACAATAGCGGCTCAAACGCTTGCGTAATTCGTCGAGAATACTCGAAGAGTCGAGTCCGAGGTTGACTAAGATCTACGCGAGTTCGGCCTTGCTGCGCTAATATATCCACGACGATATAGAGTGAACACGTTTCGAAGAATTGAGGCTATCTCTCTTCTCCGCGTCCTTCCCGGAACGGTCCCTGTTCGGGATGAAACGATCGGTCTTACCCGGGTTGGCCGGTTGCTCGAACTCGGTGCGCGAGCCCAATCGGAAAGCTTGTCCGATATCTGGGTTCGACCGGACGCAGAGAAGAAAGAGAGTGATCAAGTCTCGTTGGAAAAACAACAAATAAATTTATTTGAATTCTCTTACAAACGTGTGGTGTCGCGATACAGAAAGCGAAAGCGGCGCGGCAAAGCGTCGCGAAAGGTTGCACAGCAACGCGAACTTACAATCTATATTTAAAACGCGATCTTACAATCTACAACGCAGGACAGAAAACGGTCTTGAGCGCAGAGAACGTATCGAGAACGCTCGGCAGAGGTTTTCGCCCCAGGAGTCCGTCTGTCGAGAACGCCTAAATCCAGGAAGCGGACAGGAAGCTGGGAACGCTCAGTGAAGCTCGAAAACGTCCAAGCCCAGGAGAAGGCAGATGGAAAATTGAGAATGTTCAGCGGAGCTCGAGAGCTCCCGAGCCCAGGATCGAGTCACTCCGGAGAGATGACTCGAGAGAATGGTGTCGAGAAGCTCCCCGAGCCGGTTTTTATACTTGCTCGGGAACTTGCTCAACCGTCTTCGGCCCGCGTCGGGCCGACCGGTGGGAGTCGTTTGGAGCACGGCACGCGGTTCTCACCTGCTGTGCACGTGCTCCGACCGGTGTCGGCCGGCCGAACGCGGCGCGACGTGTGAACAGCGACTGAGATCCGCTGCCCAGAAGGTTGCGGTGGTGGAAAAGATTAAAAAGGATTAAAAGTATGTGTATATTTTAGACGTTGTATTATATGGATATACAAAATTGTTTATATCTCAGAAATGATTGAGTTCTTGATGTATGCTTACTAAGATTTAATATATGCTTACTAAGATTTTTATTTATATATGGTTATCATATATCGTTATATATACTTATCATATATCTACTATATAAATGCTTTTTTTATTTTGTATATATATACACATATATATATATATATATATATATATATATATGTGTATATATACAAAATAAAAAAAGCATTTATATAGTAGATATATGATAAGTATATATAACGATATATGATAACCATATATAAATAAAAATCTTAGTAAGCATACATCAAGAACTCAATCATTTCTGAGATATAAACAATTTTGTATATCCATATAATACAACGTCTAAAATCAGGACGTAAGACGTCTAAAAAACGTCTTAAGGATGCCTCTCAGAATATAAGTCGGAATATAAGATGTTATGTCCCGATTTTGTTATTATCATGACTAACATACATAGTTCCTGTGTTTCGCACATGCAATGAGAAAATGCGATTCTCCATATTGGACGTCAATACAGATCTAGGTCTACCGAGATTCCAATGGTTGAATTCTAAATGAGCTTTACTACAAAGACGTGGTGAAAAGTTTTATTATACAATGTATGAGAGAGAACTTTACGATTAGAAAATTTTTTCCGCGTAAAGATGTTACGTAGTTAAAGTATTTCCATTAGTACGACTATACATAAAATGTTGTATTTCTTGATTACAATAGTATGTTGACATTTTCAGCACAATACTTTATAACTGTATAATCACCAAACAGATCCATAATCGCTAGTTGTATAATGACAACTGAACGATTGTCAGTGAAATTTTTCTAAAACATATGTGAAAACTAGATGAGGACCTTCAAAACGCGGTTTGTAAACACCAAGATAAATCTTCACGTCACATGCGACACGTAGAAATCAATATGTTAGTCATAATATTACTATACAAAATTATTTATATCCCGGAAATAACTGAGTTTTCAATTTATATTTACTAAAACTTTTACTCAATATAATATATATTATCTATTATATAAATACTAAATGCTTTTATTTTTACAGCCTGTATACATATTTTTATTTATTTATTACTTACTTTTAAATATAAAATATCACTGCATATTTCTCTCAATAGTGTGCTTTCGTTACCTTTGAAAGATATTACGCCTGAAAATCGCAGCTCAGATCTGTTTAATTCTTCATTTTTAGTACATCAGCCTCTTTATTTCTAATATCGATCACAACCTGCAAGATTTACAAAACATTATAACGCAATCTCACTATTATATTAACAATGTTATATTTGAAATCTAGGAAACAATTTGAATTCTGTTACTTACTTTCCCCGGAGATTTACTTTCAGAAACAAACTGCAAGGCGTCATTGATCTTGTGTAGGCCAACAATAAGCGAACAAGACGACGTAATAAGTCCTTCCTCGAGAAATTGTAGAACTTCATCTCCGGCTTGACTAGTTTAAAGATGAACATTATTAGAACTTTTGATGCCGCAAGTGATAGAAATTATGAAAATATAACATACCGGTATATATCAGGCTTTTTCTTTCTATATTCCGTAAGATTGAAGCCGCTGACGCTGAAGGAACTTTTCTGCACTTCAGAATGGGCGTCCGTCATGGTCATCGCTGTGCCAGCTACGATCACTCGCCCTTCATGACAAAGGCTATAAATGAATGTATTTCCTGCATGAAGTTTTGAATATTTCAGATATAAAATATATACCTTCACGAGAAAGGTGATGTACCACCACCGCAAAATTGTCATCGCGTAGCAAGTCTTTTAACGTTGCATCATTGTAGACATCAGTGAAACTAAAACGTATTACGTATCCATACAATGTATCTTACTTGGGGATAATCTACGCAACACAGCTTTCTTGAAACCTATTAAGAATCTACAACTACTTCTATCAACTACAAGATCTTCAGGACTCACCAGCCCAATACTTTCTTGAAATATTCCCCGCCGATATCGTCGAAGATAGCTTTAATGTCCTTTTCAGCTGCGATCTCTTCTATTTGCTTCAATAACTTCTTATTTTTATATTTAAGAGATGTAAACGCTCCTTTTTCCCTGACTATATCTGCTCCGTCTTCTGTAGCGCAGACTCCGATAACCTATGTTATTTAATGAAATGTTTACTCCTAATTATACTCGCTACCATTTTGTTTGATGACGTTAGAAGCAAGAAAATGTACGTCTTAAATTTCTGCGAAATACATAGAAATAAATAAGTATGCTCGTAAAATGACAATTAATCGTGAAGATCTTGTGTGCAAAATAGTCTTCTTTTATTTTATCAATCAATAAATAACTGTAAAAATAACTGTAATAATAGAATCACGAGAAAAACAAGTTTAAAAAAAAGTAGGTTGTATGTTACATTAATTTTACAATAATTTATTGATTAGTAAAACAAAAGAAAAGCATTCTGTTTTATAGATCTACTCAATCGATTATATTTACTCTATTTACTCTATATTTATAATATAGACACTATATTTATAATATATTTATAATATATAAAATCCTGTATTATAGAGTCCCATGAAAATTGAATATTTGCATTTTACGTCTATTTTGATGACGACCATATTGGATATGCCATTTTCAATTACGAATTTTTTACTTCAGAATCAAAAAGATTACTATAAAAAAATCCCCTTATATTAAGTTTTATGAAAATCAAGAGATAAGTTTCCAAAGTATAACAGGAAAGCATATGTACATGTTCCCTGTCCACAAAGGGTTAACTTTTTAATCGTAAATTAAATTTATATGAAATAATGAAAAGATGGTCTAATATAAGAAAATATCGACTGTATTCAAGATTCTCTCCACACAGAAAAATAATTTACGAAAAACCATTCAAAAAAACGAAAAATTCTGCTGGCATTACATTTTGTAAACAACTCGGAATTATTATATTATTGTCGAATTATTTTAACATATATAAAACAAAAGTAATAAATAGAAATAATGTATTAATAAGTTAATGCATTTTACAATAATTAATTTGAAATAAACATTAACTTTAAAATTAATTAAGTTAAAAGATATTAACTCTTTAACTGTTCACCGATTAATTAGTTATTCAACTCTGAGAAATGCACAATTGAAATTAGTTGTTACACATAGCAAGTAATAAAATATTTAAACATATTTATACAAGAAGTACCTTAGCTCTAAACATATTTATACAAGAAGTACCTTAGCTCTAAAGACATTTGTAGCTAGATCCACCGCTGCTAGGCCAATACCACTCATGCCAACATTTATTAAGATCATATCATTCTCATCAAGATTAACTTTCCTTTCTAACGCAACCAGAGCAGTGATATAGTTGTCTAAAATACTCACAACATCAATAGATTTTAATACAGAAGGTACTTTCCATATATCCTAAATCAAACAAGAGATTATTATAAGCCTGTATTAAACTTCATATCTGAGATTTTATATTTTTTATATATGTTCTATACCCCAACTTCAGCCAGGCATCTCTCAGCCAAGCCTCCATAACGATCTTTGTTAAGAGCAATGACTTTGTCGCCAACTCTGTAGCCTTTTCTTTCCGCTTCTGCACCGACCTCAACCAACTTTCCAAGAACCTCATAACCCAGAATTGTTGGTAATTTAGGTTCGAATATGTATGAATTTTTGCTAAGAAGTGCATCAGAAGCATTCAAAGAACAATAATGAACATCAATAAGAACCTGTAAAAATAGACGCAGTTATTGAAATATATTCTCAATATTGTATTATTTTTTTTATTTAAGATGTAATTAGTCTTTATCTTGGTATTTTGCTATTTAATTCAATATGTTATTATTATTATAATAAACATGTTAAAGAAAAAAGATAAATTATATGTATGTATATTATATATATATATATATATATATATATATATATATATATATATATTCTTTTTAATATTTTCACTGACATATATATATATATATATATATATATATATATATATATATATATATATACACACCTCATTATGCTGTACTCTTTTCGGTGGCTCTAAATGTTCCACAACAAAAGGATTGGAGAATTCCTTTAGTACTGCAGCGTGAATTTTTCCCGGCTGCAATGCCAGATTAATGTTTTTGGTAGATTCCGCATTTTCTTCAATTGATATTAATCTAGCTCCGACAATTCGCTGTAGCAAGCTGTTCAATCTGCTCCTGTATAATTTTGTGAAAATTGTGTGTCCTACTGACGATGGCATGATACTAAAAACTAATTAATATAGATATATTACTAATAAATAATAAGTTTGCTTATGTTTTCTAATAACCTAAAAATTTCAATGAAATATTTGTAGTCTGTTCTTTTCAGCCGCACTGCTGAACTGGTGCAATAAGTTAAAATGAGACAAATATATGTTTTCTCACTCTAACTTGTTGCACCAGTTCAGCAGTGCAGCTAAAAAGAAAAGACTGACTGCGTTCCGAAATTCACTGCCAGTGTTGAAATTCTATAGTATACGTGACATGAACTATAGATTTTCAATACTATGAATGAATTTCGGAGCGCAGTCAAAACCAGTTTATTGGTTGCATATTATCTTACAAGATATTTTAGATAATATGTGACCAATAAACTAGTTTTGTGTACGTGTGTGTCAAGTGTGTTAAGCAATTGAAAAGCACCCTATAGTTCATGTTACGTATACTATAGAATTTCAGCACTGACAGTGAATTTCGGAACACAACCTATTATGGTATGAGATATAACCTACAATAATTTGTCCGTAATGAAAACAAACGCGAAAGGACAAGAATTACCTATTATTGTACAAAAAGAAATAATGTGTCATGTTACCATTATATTCTAGGTAAGAGATTGAAGACACTCGAAGGCACTGCAACAAAATCTGTAGAAAAGGAAGAAACAAATACGAATAAACAATCAAACAAAATGCGACCGCGCAAGTTTAGATTACCATTAAACGTGGATAAGTAAGAAATTATTTGTAAATAATAAACAGAACTTAAACAATAAGAATGTATACACTATTACTTATAAAGTATTTTCTACCTTAATAACTAATTAACGTTGTATTGGTTTTTTACACTATATTTAGTTTTACGCATACTGACAAGAAAATAGTGGTTGTCTCAGTATTTGGCAAGTCACAATATCGAGCAAAAGGATGTAAAGCAGACATGCTCAGTTCTGTACTCCAGGTAAATCTCCTGGATGAGGTACAGGTTGATGAAGACTCTATGGTAAAACATATTCTCTCTGTCTTTGGAGCTTCTTAATAATTAGCAAACTTATTCTAATTAAGATCTATTCTTTTGTATAGTGTGAAATTGAGGGATATTACAATACTAATGAAAAGACAGTTTACTTGCACTTGAGAGGACTCTTAGATACTCATACACTCTTAGCTGAATATGACAAGTTCACAGAGAAGCAGGATTGCAAGGATTTTCTCAGTGTATGGGCACATATGAGAGATAAATATGCTAGGGCTCTTTTGATACTTTTTCACATATCTCATGTAATTATACTTACTCATCCCACACACACTTTTGACTACAACTATGTACATTTATTTCGCGCTATGGATATAATCAGGTCAGTAACAGAGATTAAGTCTCATATATTTAATTTAGATAATTGAAATTATGTACTTAAAAAATATGATAATATTATATATATATATATATATATATATATATATATATATATATATATATACACACTTATTTACACGTACAGAGAATTTATACACTATACAAAAACCTGTACACATGCAAAATTTGAATGTTAAATTTTTTCTAATAAGCAATGCAATGATTTGCTACAACAGGCAAAAGATTTCTCCTCAACTTTCTGATGTGCTAAGCTGTATTCATAGTCTACCCAAGGATTGGATTTCAAATGTCCGGCCTTGTTCACCACGAGTGCTGTTTTATTTTGAAAGTTGTCCTGTAGTATTTCAGAATCCAGACAATGATGTTAATATTAAAAAGTTAGAGCACTGCCTTGAGGATCAGATTTATCATGTATTAAGAAAAAATAGAATTGTTACCAATATTAGGTATGATATGATATGAAATCTCTAGGAAAAAGGAGATATATTAATAAGAAAATGTTAAAGTTGCATTACTTTGCTTTCAGCTCTAATTCTTTATTCGCAATACCGGCTAATCAGGAATTTGTCTACGTACACACTGGAAGTACAGAATCTAGCGATATGTTAGGTTACATGGCGAGCAAGTTGATACAAGCCTGCAAAGTTGGTTCCAGTGGTTCGACATCAAGAAGTCTCGCCAGTCTGGACTCGTATGTTTCGACGGATGACACCGAGGAAGGTAAGATGAAGACAAAATCCGAGCAAATACGTGTAAACATAATATTTATGCATTTACAGAGCCTCATTCGTTCAGGTTATTTTTGCAACAACACATCAATCTGGCCTTTGCGAGAGGATTCGATGACAACGTCGGCCGACACTCCGTGCCTGCCTATTTTGAGGTATGTCTTTGCGAATTATATCACTAATCTGAATGTTGGTCCAACGTCGAATATGTCACCTTAATCTATTTGCATACTTAATCGTACTTATATTGCAATTCTAGATAAAACCGTAAAACTCGTAAGAACTTATGAGTTGATCTGCAATTCTATGCGGACCGTATATCATGATAACTCGTAAATATTTGTTTTTTTTTTTGTTTTTTTCATAAGCTACGACTTTACGATTTACTCGTATATTTGCTTAGAATTGCATCATTAATCTGTTTGCATCAGTACTAGATATGTCCGTTTATTTTGGTGGACATATATTGTCCCGAAAAAATATGCACCGAAATATAAAAACTAGGACAATTTTCTGAAAAGTCATAATATTGAAATCCGAATACTGAGATGATCTTACTCTAATACAATGTAACCGCGATGCGTTGCGTTTCGGATCGCTCGTCGGTTCGGGTTCGTGATAGGCGGAATAATTTAGAAACAGTGTTTTCAGTAACAACAATATATTTAAATAATCAGCTGACGATGATTATAATTACATCAAATAATGCCGACGCCGTTGATTTTGGTCGTTTGTATACTGTCAGAGGCTTGTTGATGTGATGGTTCGCGAGATGCGAAGCGCGATGCGCGGGACGCGGACGGTGTAAATGTCGCGTATTCGCGAGTTCGTATTGTTGACGTTTCTTCGACGTTTCGCCTCTTTAATTCTTGTTGACAACTTCTTGCGATGATTTTAGTTGCGCTTCGAGGTAGTACAATGCACGCGGTCGGTAAAACGGCAGCGTAGCTGCACCCGGGTAGTGCCTTAGTGGCGAAACCTTCGATCTCCTATCGCAGAGATTTGATGTGGTTCTGTGTATGCGGTGCGGCCGTCGGTCCTCGTACACGAGAGAGTTAGCTCTCGGAGTTTCCTTTGTAATCAAATGAGCCCGGCTCGTTCTAACGCGATTTCGGATGCGGTAAGACGGTGCCGTGGACGCGCCTATGCGTCGCAGTCACGGAGTTCGCTTCTGGAGATCGCTTACGATTATCACGGAGATCGTCTTGCGTCCCTGCGAGGCGACGACGGTGTAATCCTAACGCGGATCCTAAATACGCGGTGTCGAAGCTACGCTGCAATGGAGCGTAAGCTCGAATCTATGATGACGAGTTCGTACGCGGCGACTCGATGCGTTATGATCTCGCTCGCGCTAAGGCGAAGGCGAGGTCCGGTTCGCGGTGCGGAAGGTGCGTTGAGCGCCCTTCCCGGATGTCGATTCCAAGCCCTTCGATGGCTGTGGAATTTGACGGATAGCGTAGTTTATCAGTGTCGGCGTCACGAATCCGTGAGCCGTCGGCGGAGTGATCTCAGTCGCGAATCCGCAAACAGAACTCCACCAGGAGCGGTAGATAGAACAATGTCGATATCCCGAATCCGGGAGTCGACGGCGGAGTGCTTTCAGTCGCGAATCCGCGAACAGAAAGCTGCCAGGAATGGTATCTGCGGATCTCTTTTCGAGAGCGGAGGATCGGAGTCTGATTCTCTCGAAAAGAGCGGTAGATCGGATCTGATCGATTATAATTCGCGGCGTTTTATACAGGGTGTTCGGAAAGTACCGGGACGCCCGAATATCAGGAAAAATATAAGTTTTACAAAAAAATGTTTCAGACAAAAATTGTGGCGTTTAAAAAGATGTATTTACTGATCACATCAGTTTGACCTTGGGTTGCGTAGCGAAGGTCAGGTCAAGGTCACATTAATTTTTTTAAATGGAA